CAAGCACTGGGTACTGTTTCAATACACAATACAAACTAAACTGTTCTTCTGTATTTCTTCTCAGACAAGTCCTTCCTCATCCACTTAAATGTTAATCATTAACAAGCAGGTCAAACGAGTCTGAAAGCTGTAATCAAAGTCCTGAACATCCACAAGCCTGTGCTTTTCCTCTCTTCTTCCCCTTTGCTCAGGTGCGCAGAGGCGTCCACAAAGCAGCAGTTAATTCACCTGTCACCTGCAGGGTCAGAGGAGCATGTTAACAGATCACAACTACAACTGAGAGCTCAAGGGGCAAAAGCGGTGTATTTAGAGAGACATTCAAATGAAACCATGTCAACATGAGAGGAGGGGCTCAGAAGGAGGTACAGAGGGCTGAGAGAAAGGCAGACAGACAGAGAGAGAGAGAGAGATTTCCTGCGGTCCTAATCTCAGTATTTCATTGCTTCATAACCCTCCTCCCTCCCTCTCTCTCTCTCTTTCTGTTTTATTTTCTGCCTCTGGGTGGAGTCCCTCTCTGTGCCCTGATCTGGTTCTCAGTCTCACTTTGTTTGTTTTTTTCTTGTTGACCTTTGCTGATCTGCACTCAAAACTCTCCTTACCAACATGTAAGTGTACATCTTAAAAAATGTGTTGTTACACCGCAAACAGCTACTTTCTTAATTGTTCCAATTTTTTTGAAAGATAAATTATTTGAGATGCTTCGTTGTATATTAACATATTTATAACACATTTTGAATTAATTGGCCATAATTTGTAAGTGCAAACCGAATTACTTTGAATTCATAATATTATCTTTTCATACAATTTGCTTAAGCTCCATTACAGTTGGTTTAGGGGCTTTAGAAGTGGACTTTCATGCTTTCTTTTTTTTTCTAAGCATCATACATTTTGTACAATTTAAATGTTACATTCAATTTGAATTGCAAGCAGGGATAGCTAAAGATGACTTTTTGCGAATTACATTTAGAGTTTAAGATTTAAATTAAGATTAAAAAACTAAGAATTGTGAATTAAGATGAATGATTTCAAGGTTCAAACTGATCTCCTAACCATGTGGCAGTGGCAACAGTAACAGGAAGTCAAAATATAAAATAGTTTGGTTTTATTATCCACTGTGAAGAAATGGCAAGTCCAGATCACTTATCACAAATAATAATTTAACCACACCTCTTCTCAACAAGCTGCTTGATTTGAGGTATCATTCATGTCTGTTACACCCAGCAGCTGTTTTCGGTCTCTCGGTCTCTCCCTCTTCTGGTACTTTTTGAGACGCACAACCCACCCTCTAATGGCTAAATGATGTGGGTTTGACTAATTAGTGAGGCAGGTATTGCAGCTAGGGTTCTTCAACACAGTCTACTTATAGTTAAAAATTTGAGCAATATTAATAGTGATGCTTGGCTTAGCAATCTTTCAAATACAGCAGACCACTCAAGACAAAACAGACATGATCACTCACTACAATAGCGGGTTTGATAATAGTTTGTGAGCTAATCTAAACGACATCTGAAGCTAAAGACCAGCATGCAGTTCACCTGACCCCACTTCACCTTTGTCACTTAAAGTCTTTTTCACATCAAAGCTGGCAGAAAAGAAGGAACATTAGGGATGTTAAAAGGGGAGGAACACAGCAATTGAAATTCCTTTGTGAGCAGCACAACGGCCTTTGACAAACAGTTCACGTGTGTGATATGTAAAGCACTGTGCTGCCCGTTCATGAACTCCGGACAGAATCCTGCCTTCCTAACCTGCATATTTATAGAAGATAGGCTAATGAAATTTGAATCCCAATTGAGGAAAGTCCATAACAGACTTCCGAGACAGCCCTTTATCGCAAAACCGTGTTTCAGTGCCTATGTTTTCATATACTTCAGCTTGTGTTACTTCATAGTTTTGAAGACTTTACTATTTAGGTAGAGAAAGAAAAGAAGCAGGGCAATAACCTCCATAGACACTGAGGGGGACAAGTCTCCACCAATAATAAGATATGACCAAATTGTCCACCCCAGTTTGATATTTAGCAGTTTTAAGTTACATCTTTTTTTTTTTTTTGATGGCCAAATTGTCACCACCCAGATTGTTTCAAAGCAGCTTCACAGTAATAAACAGGAAAATGACAGAATCAATTATGCAAACTTCATCAAATATGAGACAAATTCAAACTGTGCTGCAAAGCAGCTCTTAAAAGTCAATAGCTCAAGTCAGTTCAGTTCAATATGCAAAGTTGATCAATTATGAAACAAGTTCATTTCAACGTTCCCATTGGTTACATTTGTGACCCTGGACCACAAAGCCGTATTCTTAAGTCGCTTGGGTATATTTTTAGCAATAGCCAAAAAAAACATTGTATGGGTCAAAATTATTGATTTTTCTTGTCATCAGCTAACTGCAAGGTTTGTGTTTCCATTGATGAGATTCCAGAAGAGATGGACACAGTCTTGTTCTTATTTTGATTTGTTCAGTGGAGTTACAAGTCTGTTTTGATAGGATTGCGGGCAGAGGAAATAAAATGTGAATAATAAATATAACTGTGTGTCATTTAGGATAGCAAAATATTAGCAGAATTAAGAAAATGCTTCTAATACACAATTTTGATAGAGTTGGGTCTCCACTTGATGCTTGATGTAAAATCTGGGTCTTGAAGTTAAGAACCACTGCTGTGGTATATTTTGGGATACACTTTATATATTTAGGGTAAAGTGCCCATTTACTACCAATTTTTGGACCTTTTTTGAGGGGTTGTGTTCTTTATATATTGGGGGAAGTCGTGGCCTAATGGTTAGAGAGTCGGATTCGTAACCCAAAGGTTGTGGGTTCGAGTCTCGTACCGGCAGGGATTGTAGGTGGGGGGAGTGAATGTACAGCGCTCTCTACGTCACTTTCTTTCTTTTTCTTAATTTATATAAAATATATATTTTATAAACAAAATATATACATTATAAACATGAAAAAAGCCTATATATATATATATAGGCTTTTTCACACACACACACACACACACATATATATATATATAACAAATATGATTATATATTTTTTTGAATAAATAATTCTATTCATCAATTTTTAATACATTTTATTTATTTATTGTTCATTTTCATTTTGGTCTTAGTATTTTAGGGTTGCCAAAAGTGTTAACTGGTATCATAAAAAAAGGCATTAAATTTAACAGCATGGTCATATTATTGCTATTTATTGGCATTTTCATGTTTAATCCAAGTTGTTTGTAAAAGTTTTATAGCATACATTTATCAATAACCAAAAAAAAAACAACATTAATTTGTGGTTATTTTATTTTATTTTAGTTAGTTTTGAAACCATATTTTGTTTCAGTTGTGTCCAGTTATATTTTTAGTTATTATTTTATATATAACAAAAATGATTATACTTTTTTTTAAATTTATTTATTTATAAATACTTCTATTTATACATTTTTAATACATTTTATTTATTTTTGTTCATTTTCAGCATATCATTATTTTGGTCTTAGTATTTTAGGGTTGATATAACTGATATCATAAAAAAAGGATTTAAATGTAACCGCATGGTCGTATTATTGCTATTTATTGGCATTTTCATGTTTAATCGAAGTTGTTTGTAAAAGTTTTATAGCATGCATTTATCACCAAACTAAAAAAAAATTTAATTTAATTTTAGTTTAGTTAGTTTTGAAACCATATTTTGTTTCAACTGTGTCCAGTTATATTTTTAGTTAATTTAACAATTACATTAAATTTATTAATTACATTTTCATTTGTAGTTTTCATTTTAGTTTGTGTTGTGTGAATGTTAGTGTGGGAATTCATCAGTGTAGACATGAGAGAGATCTGAAGAAAGCGAATGTGAGAGTAGGTGCGTATGTGGGAGCTGATCAGAGGCATAGCTGCTTTGACAGCAAAGTCATCATATTTGACATTCAATTACAGTAATGTGTGGGAAGTGATCGCCGTTCAGAAGTACAGCTCTCATAGCGCTGTCAATAAAGGCAACCTGCGGTCTCTATATGCAGATGGTGAAGCAGATACAGGGAAGCAGCTGTCCTATAATGAGCCGCATCAGCTGATACGCCATTAAGAATAACAAGAGTTAATCCAGCCTCTGATGCGGTCAGATTCTGCAAATCCTGATTATTGAGCTCCGCCAAATCAAACACGTTTGATATCCACCTCGAGTTCACTGGAAAATTGTTCTGTCATCACGTGCACTGACATTCGTTTGGGGTCAATACGTTTTTTTTTTCTTTTGTCCTTTTCTTTCTTTCTTTCTATTTTTTAATTAATAGTTTTATTCAGCAAGGTCACATCAGATTGATCAAACTTTTTTTTCTATTAATCAAAGAATCCTGAAAAAAAAAATCATGCTTTCCACAAAAATAGTAAGGAGCACCGTTGTTTTTAACATTGATAATAGTAAGAAATGTTTCCAGAGCACCAAATCAGCATATTTCAATGATTTCTGAAAGATCATGTGACACTGAAGACTGGAGTAATGATGCTGAAAATTCAGCTTTGCATCACAGGAATAAATTACATTTTAAAATATACTAAAATAGAAAAGTTATTTTAAATTGTAAAAATATTTCACAATGCTGTTGTTGTTTTTACTGTATTTTGAATTTAAAAAACATAGCCTTGGTTAGCATTCTTCCAAAAACAATAAAAAAAAATCTTACAAGCCTTTGAACAGTAGTGTTCTAAATAGTTTTGTGCTTTAAAAAAAAAGTTCTACATGGCAAGTCAAATGAGTTTTGTCAAAACAAACTAAGCTGAAATGAAATACATAATTTCTCCAAATTGGTAGTAAATTGGCACTTTACCCTACTACTAAATTATCTTGTAGGAATTAATCAACATTGCAATTTTTTCCCCCCACATATTTGACATTTGCCTTCTAATGCACAATTTTTTCCCCCATGTGCGCTGGAGCAACATCAAAAGTGTACAGGAAGCAATTACAGATTTGTGCACATTAATATAAAAATAACTGAAGGGGTTCATAAATCACAAACATTTATTGATTTTATTGGCTTTACAATCCTTGAGAACAGATGAAAAGCAAAAAGTCAAATACAGAATTGAAAGATTTTTTTAATGAAAGTAGTGACGGTGTAAATCCAACAATTATTTTGGTCTGTCTTTCTGCCGAAGGCTGGATGATTCCAGCTTGTTACTACTGAATCTAAAAACCTCCATAAAAGTAAAAAGCCACAGTGAAAACCACTTATCTATCTGTGCATTACCAAATTTCAAAACATTTTCATATTAAATGTAATCAAATGTATTTAATTAGAACATTTATTAAATTTGCATCCATAGACATGATCTTTTTCCTTATTTCTAAAAGATCATTAATAGAATCTGTAAGTGGATGTGATAGTCTCAGTCACTGCCTCACGATGCATTTTATTAGAATGAGGCATTAAAGCATGCATCAGCATACTGTCAGCAAACCGAAGCTGCATTCCGTTGCTTAACTATGGACAGGTAACAGGCATGACAGACAAACCGGCAGCCCAAAATGGCTGTGAATAATTGGTTTGTGTACTTATTCAGTGAATGATGCTTGGCTCTCTTTTAGAACACTGTCCGGTGAATGTATGTCGCTTTACCTTCTTCATCAAAAGCCATTTGTCCAACGCATCCACCCAATCACAGGAGAGGGGAGGACTGGGAAGAGAGAATGAAAGCCTGGATGAGAATAAAGTGCTCACACTGGTGGAGGTAGGGGGTAGTACACTACACTCAGCACAGACACTCTTCTCTTCTGTGGGGAGTTTGATCCTTGTAAATGTCAATCCTCACTGTCCTGGAGTGTGAGTGTGTCAGAGGACCAGAGATTTGCGCACGATCTGCTTAGCTAGTCGGTTGAACTGCTCTCTGTCCTCACGCCACATCTTTGAGGCGTCCACGTTTGCTCCGCTCTCATCGTTGGGCTCTGTTGGGAGTAGATGATATTTACAATTATTTAAGGACAGGCATGGATAGGATGTAAATTATATAAGGTATAATTTGGTGGGCAGTATACCGGTTCATACCGAATACCGGTGTTTATTTTTGTTATGATATGAATTTTTTTAAATACCGCAATACCGGTGTATGTCGCTTAAACAATGTTCGGAACGCGACACTGTTTGAAAGGGGTCCCTTGTCACTGTTGCACTGTGGTGAGGGAACAGCTGTATGTGTTACTAAGCGTGAAAGTTCCGAAACTGAAGCTGTAGAACGTGATGACACAGAAGAACTCATCCACAATATCCACATTGACCGCCACAAATATCCACCGCCCCCTGCCATCAGCTCCCGCGTCTCACACACACGAGCGCGACTTTAGCACTAGATTTAGCAACTTTCAGACCCTTTTAACGGCTTTTTTCCATAGAATATTCATACTGACAAACCTAGCAACTTTTTTGGAGAAACCTTAGCTATGGTTCAGTTGGACCGTGATATAAATTTTTGGTCATACCGCCCAACACTATTAAAACATTTAAAATCTAGTATTTACTACCAACACTAGTTCTCAAACATTTCTCACTAAGCACGTTTCCATTACCCTTCAAATTGCGCAAACTGAAATTGCGAATTGAAAATACACCTAATGGAATCGCAGCAAAAACATCCATATATTACAAAAAAGCTTTTACGCTCACATGAGGTGGTTTTTCAGGCAATTCGAAAAAGGAATATATCGCAAAACTGCAACGGAAACCGTATTTTTTTCACATTGATCGCGGCCACTCTAGTGCTTGTGTTTATACCGGCTCTCCGTGCTGCTTTGCTAAAAATACACATCTACGTATTCATCAATTAAAAATAATGGCTAGTGCAGTGGCTGCGGTATACATAAACCTAGCAACATCGGTTGTCATGATTTATTGCAAGAGGAAAAAAATTACGTTTCAGTCGCATAATATCGGTTAACGGAAACGTCGTCATTTCGCAATAGTTTTTTATCGACATAAATATCGCAAAAATGTTTGTGCAAATCTGTAATGGAAAGGCACCTACTACTGTCACCGTGGTCAGACTCTATACTATTTTTGTTAAAAAGCAAAACTAGATTTTAGGCCGAATGTGGAACAACAAGAGGATGAGTAAATGAAGTCAATGTCATGGTGATAAAGGGAATCAGTCATGACTGTCTTTACTTTTCTTGAAGTTTGGGTATAGGTAAGATTTTTATTTTTTATTTATTTGATCAGAAAAATTGTGAAATATTATTACAATTTAAAATGCCTGTTATTTTTTTTTTATATGTTTTAAAATGTCATTTATTCCTGTGATGCCAAATCTGAATTTTCAGCATCATCGCACCAGTCTTTAATCACATGATCCTTTGGAAATCATTGTAATATGCTGATTTTGCTGCTCAAGAAACACTTCTTGTTATTATCAATGTTGACAAAAACATGTGTATGGAACTATTTTTTAAATGATTCTTTATTGAACAGAAAGTTCAAAGTAGAGATCGACAGATATATCGATTTACCGATATTTTCCCCGATATTTAAGCATTTTACCATAATCGGATATCGGTTTTGTAATATCGGATTCACCAATAAACGCTGCCATCTTGTGGGCGTTTTGAGAATTGCGCGCAGGATCACCATTGCAGCGCGTCTGAGGGGAGACGAGACAACAACAACGGCGTGCAGGCACTTGATATAGTTGCTATAGTTAGTAAACTTTATTCGTTGATGCTTTTTATAAATAAAATGTTTTTTATTGTTGTAATATAAAGATTAAATTTAACATGAAAGACTGCTAATTTTCAACACTTAAAAAAAAAAAGATGACTGAAAAGAGGAAAAACCAAAGTGAAGTATGTTCTTAGTTCACTCAGTCATTTATTTACTTTATTTATTTTTATTTTAACAGTAAATAAATATCGGTTCTGCATATCGGTTATCGGGCACATAAACATGCAAATAATTGGTATCGGTATCGGTTATAAAATATCAATATCGGTCGATCACTAGTTCAAAGACAGCATATATTTAAAAATGTACAAGTATTTACTTGAATGCATCCTTGCTAAATACAAGTATTAATTTTTTTTTTTTAAAATCTTACCGACCACAAACTCTGAAAACAGAAATAGATAGTCTGACTGCATTTTTCCCATTCCAGAGAGAAAATCAGTATTAAACAAGGTCCCACTTTATATTAAGTGGCCTTAACTACTATGCATTTACATTTAAATTAATCATTTGGTACAATGCACTTATTGTGTACATTTAAACAATAACAAAATCCAAACATCGTAAAATAATATTAAGGCTTCTTGATTTCAGAAACCACTTCTAGGCAAGTATGATCAATACAGCACATATTGTGATCGTTCACTGACGGAGTAAACGTTGACTGACCAGCGAGCATGCTGACCACAGACAGCAGGATCTTCTCCACGCTCTGCACGGGACTCCATCTCTCAGCACTGCTCTCATAGCCCATGGGGTCGTCACCAGGAGCGTGCAGGATTGAGATACACACACGGCCATCTGGGTAGACTGCAGAAAACACACCAAACTCACCTTAAGCAATGTTTATAAAGTTCTGCAATATTTCTGTTCATTTCTGTTTTCCTTTGTCATTTATCCTCTAGACATCTTTACAGTCTTCATTGCCGGTTGACTGAATACATTTGAATAAACTTTCAATTTGATTATATCAGCATTTTGTACACGACTCTTTTATGTCGAGGTTGGGAATGAACAGGCTGGTTCAGTTCACTGCATTTAACTACTCTCCCAATTAGCTAAAAAGGCCAAAATTGGATTAAAAACAGTTGAATCAGCAATAACAAACAGATGTTAGGATCCTTAAAGGATCAAAAGAACATACTGATTAATCTGCTAAATCAATTAATCAATTAAAGAGTTAGTTCCATGAGCACTGACCCGTGATTGGTTTCCCTTCTAAAGACGCACAAAGCAATCAAGTAATACTTTGGAAGAGTGAGTGTAAGGGACACAAGTTTATTAACCCTGGACCAGGGCTGAATGAATCCACCCCCACACGGTATCACGGCTGATGTTATCTCCTCATTCTCTCCACAGCCGAGGACAGTGATCAGAATCTGAGCCGTCCAGCTCTGATAACCGCCTCCAGAGCCCCGGCACCATCAGAGGACTGTAGGCTGGGCTGCTGCTATCTGTGGCCTGCAGGAAGACCTTTATCTGGGCCCACTTCCCTGAACGCTGTGTCCACACATCCATCAGCGGGACCAGAGGAAATGCCCCGGCCATAAAGACACTTTAGGACTCCGATTCTTAGTCTACGCATAGTCTTATGTCGAAGGACTATAAATGCATTAGAAAAGTGTTCCTGCTCCTGGAGGCTCTTCTAACACTGCAAATCATAAAGCGGATTGTTTTGCCTACACAGTGATTGTTAAATAGCCAATATATGCACAGGAAAGCTAATACAATATATTACATGAGAGATCTGTGATTGCATGTTTGTGCCCTACAACTAAAATAAAAAAATCATCAGTAATATTGTGATATAATATTAAAATTTAAATGTTTTATATTTTCATATATTTTAATGTGTAATTTATTCCTGTGACACAAAGCTGGATTTTCAGCATTGTTACTCAAGTCTTCAGTGTCACATGATCCTTCAGAAATCATTCTAATATGCTGATTTGGTGATCAGGAAACATTTGTTATTATTAATGTTGAAACCACTGTTTTTAGTATTCGTTGATGAATAGAATGCTGAAATGTATTATTATTTTTTTTATATTATGTTAAATATTATTTATTATTATGTATTTATTATACAGCATTTATTTTAAATAAATCTTTGTAAAAAATGTAAAAGTCTTCACTTTCACTTTTAATCAATTTAATAATAATAATAATAATTTTTATTTATATAGCGCCTTTCCAAAATATAAAGAGAAAATGCAAGAAACTCTGAAACCACTCAAGTGCTATTACTTGCCTAAATAACAGGACAGTTTCCCCTGGCAGACAACAAAATAAGAAAATCTCACTAAATATCACAAAAACCTTGAGTGGGCTCTTTACATACGGGACAGTACATAACCTAGAACACCCTAGCAACCCCACAGCATCCCGTCAGCATTTGGGACTACTCATATTTTACTCAGAAATAGTTCAAATGTATTTTATAGTATCATTTTTATTTTTAGTATGTTATTTAGTATAACATGTTATTATCTGTGTCCATTTTAGTATATTATTTTGTATTTCTTTAACATGTTATTATCTGTGTCCAATCTGTACACAGATAAACTAAACTGAATAATAATAATAATAATAATAAAGGTTTTATTATTACCCTCTCTGCTGGGTCACACCAGACATGGCAGAGAAAAGCTGCTTGAACTGAATAATTTTAACATCAAGAAACACATTTTCTCTCCCACATTGAGCTCTATTTTATGGAAGCTTGTTTCCGCCACATAAAAAAAATATATAATAATAATAATAAGTTGCAATTACCTTATTTAGACACTTTATATCCCTCACTGACTTTTTTGTTGCAATTCTGACTTTATATATCATAATTCTGAGAACTGAAATATAAACTCAAAATAACTCTGAATGAAGTCAAAATCATGGGATTTTTTATTTTTTATTCCTTAGCGGATTCAAAAAAAAAAAAAAAAAAAAAAAAGGGAGAGGAAAACAAACTCAGAATTTTGAGGAAAAAGTCAGAATTGTGAGACACAACCTCAGAACTGAAGATATAAATTCAAAATTGTGAGACACAAAAAGTCACAATTACCTAAAAAAGTCAGAATTGTGAGACATAAATTCAGAATCGTCAGATATAAACGTGCAATTCTGAGGAAAAATCTGAACTGTGATTTTTTTTTTTTATCTGCGGCTGAAACAAATCAAAAATAAATTAATTAATAAATACATTAAAATAAATAAATAAAACAAAAAACATAATTGTGCAATGAAAACTGAATTCACAGGAAAAAAAAGTTCGAATTGTGAGATGTAAACTCAGAATTCAGACTTTTTGCAAGAAAAAAATCTCAATTGTGAGATAAAAAGTCACATGTACCTTATTTATTTATTCATTCATTCATTTATTAAATCTTGTGGCGGAAATCGGAATCAATCAAAGAAGAGAAAAAACACTAAACAAAATCTTCTTTACAGTCTATGGATAATACTTACATAATCAGAGCCTCCCATTCAAAGAAATTTTCTTCATTTACAGGCCCTATAGGGAAGAAACGAGTCTCATTAATTCATTATCTTATTATAAAAATAAATCTGTTAATCTATTATACAGATAAAAATGATTTAAGTACAAATTTGATTAAGAATCTACTCTAAAAGCAGGACAATGGAGCAGTTCAGTAACTGCCCTAATTCTTACCAGCTACAATCCCCTCTGGAGGGTTGAGGGTTAGTTCTGGAAAGAAAGAAATGCGTTGAGCTAACTGTATCCATATAATTATGTTCAACAGGAAATATATATAAGAAAAGACAAGCATCACACACTTTCCTGCAGTGGCAGCACTAGAGTACAGTACGCGAGTAACGTAAAAAATGAAGTATGAACGTGAATTAGGAGTTACACGGTCAGTTTCAGTGTGTTTGAGGTTACTTAAGGAGGTTACTGTTCATTTATTAACTGGACCCATTTTAATGATGCATGCTGTCAGCATATGTTGGTGAAGTTCTGGAAGTATCTACAGCTGCCAAACTGTTGCTACCAAAACTCCACCCTTCACAAGCACCAGCACTGCGCTACATTAGTGTTATCAATGACATGACTTACGTTTGTATTCAGCCATGAGTCTTTTTAAAGCTGTTCCAGCCATTTTACAGCCTGGGCTGGTCTAGAAAGAAGTTGTTTTGGCACGAAGGGTGACGACAACTGACACGATGAGAAATCTTGTTCTTCCGGGACAAAAGCGAGCAAAGAATTTCGCGTGCAGGAGATTTCCCACTCGACGTTTACTTCCGCAATCCGCATGACGTCACGTGGCCCTTTGTTTTTCCCTCCGTTTTTTCCTTTTCACTCAAACTGATATTTCAATACTTAAAGCAGCTGAAAAAGGGAACGCCCTAAAACTCTCTAAATTACTTGTGCAATATATATTTAATAAATATACGTTAACTGTATTAAATATTTATAATTTGTAATAATTTAGTAATTTTGTATTCATTTTTAAAATATGTATTTATTTATTTACTTCTGTTTCCCTTTTCTCTCATTATGTATGCTGTTTGAATGTGTGTTTTTGTGTGTATTGATTAAATATATTTATTAAATATTAATAAAGAGTTTATTTAATATTCAACATTTGTACTTACTGTATTTAGTAGCTCATTAATTCTTATTATTTTTAAAATATGTATATATTTATTTAACTTTTCTCTCTTTATGTTATGTAGGTTTAACAGTTATAATGCCTGTTTATTATTTAAAGGAGTTTAATATATTTTTTTAATTCAACATTATTATTGTTCAGTTTATTTCGCTTTAAAAAATAAATTATTATTATTTTAGTTCATTCTATAAAGCAGCTGAAAAAGGGATGCCCTAATACGCTCTAAATTATTTGCACAATATATATTGAATAAATATATGTTAACTGTATTTCATATTTATCATTTGTAATAATTTAATAATTTTGTATTCCTTTTTAAAATATTTATTTATTTATTTCTATTTCTCTCTTTGTGTATGCTGCTTGAATTGAATCTTTATGTATGCTATTTGAAAGCGTTTAATACATTATTTTTGTAATGTTAAATAAAAATAAATAAACGTGCACTTGCACTTGGTTTCGTACTAGAGTGGAACGGCTTTAGCTCAACTATATACGCAGAAAGAGCCACAGTGACCTCTAGCGGAAGCGTCTGAGAAGTGCGATTCTGTTTCAATGGCAACCATCACGGGGGTTTTTTAAGTTCAACATTATTTTTGTAATGTTAAATAAAAACAAATAAACGTGCACTTGCACTTGGTTTCGTACTAGAGTGGAAAGGCTTTAGCTCAACTATATACGCAGAAAGAGCCACAGTGACCTCTAGCGGAAGCGTCTGAGAAGTGCGATTCTGCTTCAATGGCAACCATCACGGAGTTGAAAAGCGGTGAGCTAATACTCATAAACTGTCATAATGCATCATATCGTTGTGCCAACGTTATGATTAATTTGCGTGTTTGTTTAATAACAAATCTTCAGTCATAAGGTTTGTTATTAATGTTTTTAGATGTTTAAACGTAACGTTAACCCTCAAATCTCTCCACAGTTGTGTAGGCTATAGCTGTGCAAGTTAGCTCGACTCACTTTCTGTCTCTGGCTTTTAAATGCATGATCTGTAGCTTTGCGAGAGACGCTGGAGGCCCGTGGGGTCCTGGGGCAGCTGAAGGCGAGGATCCGGGCGGAGGTGTTCAGCGCGCTGGACGATGAGAGCACTCCGCGGCCGCCGCTGTCCCACGAGAACCTGCTGATCAATGAACTGATCCGAGAATACCTGCAGTTCAACAAGTATCAATACACCGCGTCGGTGCTGACCGCAGGTGAGCAGATGAGCCCTGCAGGAGGACCATACGCACGGTCACTCAGTCTTAGCTCTCGATTACACCTCACAAACTGAAACACATTCTAAAAACAAACTTTTGAAGGTTAAATTGTTTTTAAAAAAAACAATGTATCTCAGAATCAGGTCAGCCTGAAGTTCCCCTAGATCGGGAGTTCGTGGCCAGTGAGCTCAATGTCACAGAAGATTCAAGTGCCAAAGCAGTGTAAGTATGATTTGTAAGTAAAACTTTTATAGAGCACCTTTTAAAAAAGTGTTTACAAAGTTCATAATAGAAGACACTGAACATGTATGTACAAGGCACAACGATAAATATGGTCCAGGATCACTGTGAGGGAACTAACACTTAACCTAATATACTATATCAAATATACTAACAATTATATTATATTGTATTGTATTATATGTGACCCTGGACCACAAAACCAGTCATAAGGGTCAGTTTTTTTAAAATTGAGATTTATACATCATCTGAAAGCTGAATAAATAAGCTTTCCATTGATGGATGGTATTGTTAGGATAGGACAATGTTGGGCTGAGATACAACTATTTGAAAATCTGGAATCTGAGGGTGCAAAAAAAAATCAAAATATTGAGAAAATCGTCTTTAAAGTTGTCCAAAGGAAGTTCTTAGCAATGCATATTACTAATCAAAAATTAAGTTTTCTAGAATTACGGTAGGAAATTTACAAAATATCTTCATGGAACATGATCTTTACTTAATATCCTAATGATTTTTGGCATAAAAGAAAAATCGATCATTTTGACCCATACCATGTATTGTTGGCTATTGCTACAAATATACCCCAGTGACTTAAGACTGGTTTTGTGGTCCAGGGTCACATATTATTATTCACATATATTATTATTATTATTCACATATTATATTATATTATGAATATAATATGTGTAATTCAAATAATACATGCATAACATTTTAAATGTAAATATTACATGATTTCATATTTAACAATGATTACTATCATTTTTCAATATGATAGATTTTTCAAGTGTTGTATAGCTGTAAAAGAGTAATGTTATAAATGTAACAGTATAAACTATTTGTTGTTATTTTAATATTTGTATTATTTTATTTTATTTTTCATGTAAATTTTATTTTATTTTGAAAAATCCTGCAAAAAAAAAAAAGTATATAATATTTGGTGGTGGGCCCAGTAAAAATGTTGGCAAGTCAAATGAATTAGAAGGATTTAAAAATTGTTCAGCTGTGACGTAAACAAACAAACAAACAAACACATGCATAGGGAAGAAAATACAAGAAAAAAGAAAAAAATAGAAATTAAAAATGAATAAGAAAATAAAATGCATAAAAAGTAACTGGAAAGAAGAAAATTCAATTACGGAAAAGCACTACTAAACAAGAGTGCTATTAGTGTGATACTTTCTCAGAGTGTTAATTTGAGTCAACTGCTCGTAGGCTGTCTGGCTGAGAGATATACAGCTTGAGTCCATAAGTGATTTAGAGCTGACTTGTTACTTTCAGCCTCATTTTAACTTCAACCAGCAAGGAATGTTGATGCAATACCATAAAGACATTAAAAATGTAATAAGAGGGTCTTAAATCCATTCTGTGAGACACAAGTAGACAGTGAACTGATTTATGTGCTGAATGTGAATCCTTGGTCTAGTACAAAGAAGCATTCTTTCTGCTGCATTCGTAACTCATTGTAAGTGTTAGATAGAGCTCTTTGGTCAGTCGGCCAAAACACTACTCCAATAGTCGAGTCTACATGTAACTACTACATGAATGAGTTTCTTGCTCATTGCATTATCTATTCTAAACCTCAAGTCGGCCAAAACACTACTCCAATAGTCGAGTCTAGATGTAACTATACTACATGAATGAGTTTCTTGCTCATTGCATTATCTATTCTAAACCTCTGTTCATTGCATATTAAAAGAACAGTTCAACCAAAAACGAAAAAAAACAACAATCTGTCATCGTTTACTCAGCTTTGACCATTTTTTAATTGTCAAACATAAAAAGAGATATTTGGAAGAATGTCCAAGAAGCTCTTTTGACCAGGGGCTTTCAAGCTTTATTTTTGGTTAACCATTCCTTTATGCTTTTTGTATTGCTCTGTCTTGCTGTTTTAGGCCATTGTTGTATGGATTGCTCCATCATTTCCTTAGCAGTAAGGAAGAGCACAAAGGAAAACTCTTCCTAAGAGGCTCAGCAACAGTGCCTTCACAAGAACCTCGTGGCCATCGTAATGCAGAGTCATAAAACTGAGGTAAGAGAGGGCTTGAGTTTGACTTTGTTTTCACATATTGATTTAATGTGAAGATTAACAAGTGTAATTTTTAGTTTCATAAGCCTGAGAAACGTTGCATCCCATTCAGTTGTTTCTGTTGTTTCCAGCTCCGCAGTCATCAGGAACCAACACACAAGAGGAAGTCATATGATCACAATTAAAACTATTTGCCATTAAAGAGGCCAAAATATTCTGTCCAGCTTACTCCGGTTGTAGATGTTGAATGTATTATATTTTTTGACTTTTTAATGTTGGTTTTTGTACTTTTAGTAATAGTTTTATGAATAAAACCATTGTGATTGTTCAGTTTAGCTTCTCAGCTGTACAAACAATGCAGCATTTTGCAATATATTCGTATTCCTCATATATTAAATTTTATTTGACATCCAGTTAACTGATTTTGAATCTGTTTGTATCATCTTTTAAAAGCTGTTACACGCAATATTACATTTACTTTTGCTGTAAAATAACAGCAGCCTTGTTTTTTTGTACACCTATTTTTTTTATTGTTTTTGTTCTATTTTTAACTAATGTCGACAATGATGAAGCATGTAAATTGTGGTAATTTATGCAGTCTGAATTGAAAACGTTAAAGGAACACTCCACTATTTTTGAAAATAGGCTCATTTTCCAACTCCCCTAGAGTTAAACAGTTGAGTTTTACCGTTTTCGAATCCATTCAGCCGATCTCCGGGTCTGGCGGTAGCACTTTTAGCTGTAGCTTAGCATAGATCATTGAATCTGATTAGACCGTTAGCATCTCGCTCAAAAATGACCAAAGAGTTTCTATATTTTTCCTATTTAAAACTTGACTCTTCTGTAGTTACATCGTGTACTAAGACCGACGGAAAATGAAAAGTTGCGATTTTCTAGGCCGATATGGCTAGGAACTATACTCTCATTCCGGCGTAATAATCAAGGAACTTTGCTGCCGTACCATGGGTGCAGCAGGCGCAATGATATTACGCAGCGCCTGAAAATAGTCCCCAGCTAGGTAACTTCTAAACTAAGCCTATTTTCATGTTCCTTTAAGCATATCTTAAGATAAGTGCTTTGATTGTTCATTTTAAATGGCAAAATTTCCAAAACAAGCCTGGATTGTTGGCTAGCTTCTAAAA